GTTTTAAATTGAAATTGTTTTACAGTGCTGTACATTCTAATGTCAGTAAACTTTACTTTGACAGTTTACATTTTCAATTGTAAGTTCGAGAGAGAATAAGGTATCGTTGTTGATATTTTGGTCCAGTTTTCTATTTAATCAATGTAGTTATTAATATGGAATTAACTTCTAAAGATTTGTTAATTTTCAAGGCAGTTTAATTCACTTCAAACATAAAATGGCATTTCTATTTATGAGATAGAGTAGTGCGTGTCGCTGTCCATGGTCCTGTACAGTGAGTCTGGCTTAGAGAATTTATTATAATGCAGCTGTATACCGTTGTGGCATATTTGAAACTACATTACAGGGATTTGTGTTCTTGAGCATTGCTAAAGTATAGCACATTGAGGCAGGTCGTTTTGTGAAGTCATTTAGTTAATGTAATTTTCTTCGTTACATTAAACAACAAAGATGTGTTGATATATTATTTACATTTAACTCGCACATTGTCGCTGTTCGGCAGCAAAACGATAAATATATTGTGATCTGCTCTCCTCCCACATATTCGTTATGCCATGTGCAGGGTTTCCAGCTTGCCTTTTTATAAATCGTCAACAGTTTCATTTTCTGATCGTTTGTACTTCTGCCTCATGCTTCAGATTTAATGTAGGCCTACGTTTACTTTTAAACACTGAGCTGTGATATGAAATCAAAAGATGTTGCGCCTCTTCTAAAGATATGAAATAGTTTGAAGTTGCAGCCATTCCCAGCACGAATCTCCCTCCAAGTTACAGTATGCAGTAAGTCTGTTGTGGATGATGGACTGATGAGAAAATGAGTGATTCATTTCAGGTAAGGTTAATGATACGTTTATTTAATGCAATGGCGTAAATTTGAAAATGTGCATTTTCTATAAGAAAATGCATTCATTGCTTTTGTTTTTGTACAGAAAACGGCCTAAAATGCTTTATTTCTTTCTTTTTTTCTCTCAGTGCGTTTGTATAAATTTATAAATACTTTGGGAGTATGTTATTTCTGAAATTTAGCCTACATTGCTAACTACTTTAAATACTTGATCTGTCTTTTATTCACAATTTGCAATCATGACACCCATGTGTGCTTTATTGATTTGAGCATAATTTTACTTTAAGTTGTCCCATGACTGGCTGATACTTTTGTTTCAGAGTGATTAAAATAGAAGAGAGAGAAATATAGAGAAGTAATTGTTCAGTTTTGTATTTATACACGTTGAAGTTTTTTGAGCAATTGGATATTTTCGTTTTCGTTTTCATTTTGTTTTTAAAACATTAAGTTACGCGTCCATATCCAGTTAAAGGCCCTGTCTCGTCTCACCAAAATGTATGCGCATTTAAATGTTTTATCAGGTGCATGTTTTATATTACTGGTTTTGGTAGCTTTCACTCAAGCACAAGACTTCAAAAATGTAAAATGACTTTAATAGAAGCCTTTAATAAGCCTCTATCGGTTTTTGCTTTTTAAGGATCTAGCACTATATATTGTTTTTATATCAACATCATATAATCAAGTGTCTCCTTCACTATAAATAAGTTGTGAACGTTATGCAGTTTCAGTTATTCAGTTTAACTCACAGTGTCGCTGTTCACCAGTAAAATCATTTCATTTCATATTGTACTTTACTCCACCCTGTTCCTGATGTCATGTTCAGGGCTTCCAGCTCACATCGTAGGAAAAATCGTAGACACTGTGTCGCTCCAATCTTTTTTAGCATCTCATTTCCTAAATGTAGTTCACACCTATGTTTTCGCTTGCATGTTGATTTCATATCAAGACATTTTTGTTTTCTTTTTCCCCGATATGAATTTTAGAGGCATCTGTGTTGCTGGTGAGATGTTTGGCTTTTTGTTCTTCGTGCTGATGGCGCACACCGCTTATGGAGACGTGAGCTATTCTTTCCCGGAGGAGATGAAACGCGGATCTGTGATTGGAAATATAGCAAAGGATCTCGGGCTCGATGTGAACAGACTGTCATCTCGTAAGGCTCGAATTGATACTGAAGGTAACAGAAAACGATACTGTGACATTAATCTGAATACTGGAGAACTGACCGTAGCGGAGAGAATCGACAGAGAGGGACTGTGTGGAAAGAAAGCCTTGTGTGTCATAAACCAGGAGCTCGTCCTTGAAAGCCCTCTAGAACTGTATCGCTTCATTATAAATATTGAAGACATAAATGATAATTCACCACAGTTCACAGAGAATGTGGTTAAATTCGAAATACAGGAATCAGCAGTCAAAGGATCTCGCTACTTATTAGATGAGGCCCATGATGCCGATATTGGTCTTAATTCTGTGCAATCATATACACTTCAAAACAATGAACACTTTATTCTAAATATATTAACCAGAGAAATTGGAAGAAAATATGGTGAGCTCGTGCTGAATAAAGAGTTGGATCGTGAGCAGCAGAAAGAGGTGACATTAATTCTCACTGCGGTAGACGGCGGGACTCCACCGAGATCAGGTACTGTAGCCATACACATCACTGTGCTGGATGCTAATGATAATGCTCCAGTCTTTAGTCAGGATATCTATAAAGTCAGTCTGCCTGAAAATGCTCCTGTAGATACTGTAGTGGTGACAGTGAGCGCTACTGATGCTGACGAGGGACAAAATGGAGAAGTGACATATGCGTTTAGTCATTTATCCGAAATTGTCCGGCATTTATTTTTCCTTGATACAATGTCTGGAGAGATTAAACTAAAGGGACTCATGGATTTTGAGGAGGAGAATTCAATCGAACTGCCGATTCAAGCTAAAGATGGTCAAGGGTTAGCCAGTCATTGTACAGTAATAATAGATGTTATTGATATCAATGATAACGCTCCTATGATAGTAATCAATTCTGTCAATAGCCCTGTTCCTGAGAATGCGTTACTCAGAACTACAGAGCTCATGTGCAAGAAAATAACAAACTGGGCTCCTCTATTTGTTCAGTGTCAGCTACAGACCCGGACTGGAGACAGAATGGTACTGTGATATATTCTCTGTTGTCCTCTGATGTCAATGACGCACCGGTGTCCTCCTTTCTATCCGTTAACGGAGACACCGGGGTCATTCATGCCGTGAGGTCGTTTGATTACGAACAGCTGAAAAGTTTCAAAGTGCTCGTGTTAGCCAGAGACAACGGTTCTCCTCCTCTGAGCAGTAACGTGACCGTGAGTGTCTTCATAACGGATGAGAATGACAACTCCCCTCAGATATTATACCCCTCTCCGGAAGGAAACTCCTTCATGACCGAGATGGTACCCAAAGCTGCGCAGGCGCGCTCCCTGGTCTCCAAGGTGATCGCCGTGGACGCGGATTCTGGCCAGAACGCGTGGCTCTCGTATCACATTATTAAAGCGACTGATCCGGGACTTTTCACTATCGGTGTCCACAGCGGAGAGATCAGGACGCAGCGGGACATTTCTGAATCTGACAGCATGAAACAGAACCTCATTGTGTCCGTGAGAGATAACGGACAGCCCTCTCTCTCAGCCACGTGCGCATTGTATTTACTAATATCAGATAACTTGGCTGAAGTTCCAGAACTGAAAGACATGTCTCGTGACGAGAGCAGCTCCAAACTGACGTTTTATTTGATCATCGCGCTGGTGTCCGTTTCCACTTTCTTCCTGACCTTCATCATCATCATCCTGGCCGTGAGGTTTTGTCGCAGGAGAAAGCCCAGACTGTTGTTTGATGGAGCTGTAGCCATTCCCAGCGCGTATCTTCCTCCAAATTACGCAGAGGTGGAGGGCGCGGGAACTCTCCGCAGCACTTACAATTATGACGCATACCTGACCACGGGCTCGCGCACTAGTGACTTCAAGTTCGTCAGATCTTATAATGAGGGCACACTGACTGCTGACCTGACTCTGAAAAAGACTCAGTCTGCTGTGGATGATCTTGAAGGACTTGATGCGGAAATTAGTGATTCGTTTCAGGTAGGACTTACCAAGTCTTTCTTTTTTAATTGCACTTTATTATTTGACTTACAGATTATGTGTTTGTGTTTTAAATTTACTGTTTTCTTTGGCAGCAGACTCTGTTAACGAAATATTTTGGGTCTTTCATGTGTTTTATTGCGAACAAGTGAGTGACGTTTTGAAGTCAGAGAAGTACCTGAGTTAAGATGTATTTATCCATCCATTCCTCCATCCATCCATCCATCCATCCATCCTTCCTTCCTTCCTTCGTCAGGTAGCCAGTTGTAAGTCATGGGGCATACTGCATGAATCTTTGCGTTTTTACTTATTTTGTATTCTTTTTCACATTAGCTATTTTGGATTCTAAGAGGTTACATTTGTTTGGTGATGTTTAGAGGAAAGTAATCAAATTTGTCTCATTTTGTTAACTAATCATCACGTTTATTTTAGCAATTTTGGTATGGTCATGTTGGGTGTTCATATGGATTCTGATATTTTTCATTGAATCAGTTCTAAAATGTTGATATTTTAAGTTGATTTATGTTTATTTGATCCTTGTCTCCTTACTCCTTTATATGCTGATAGTTTATAAATGGAATTAAACTCAGATGTCAGTAACATTCCATTCAGTGAAATATTGCAAACGTCTTTTTAGTCGACTTGGTAGTGACATAGGGCAGGATTTATTTGGCTTTCTGTGGTGCTGTACTGGCATTTGGTCGTAGCCTTTGTTTTCTTTTTTCCTTTTACATTATAATATCTCGTACCACTCTATCTTGCCGTGGCTTTCTTTCAATACCTTTCATCATGTCTTCGTGTTTCTCTCTCACTCTTCAGAGAATGTTGCTGCTGGCTTTTGTTTTGCTGAATGATGTTAAATGTACAGCGCGTTCTTTGTATGATCCTATTCCGAGATTTAATCCTGTCAGAAATGTCAATATTATGCAGTTTCTTTATTGTGACTCATAGTGTCGCTGTTCACCTGCAAAACCATGTGTGTCTTCAGTACACATCTCTCCACCCTGCTTATGATGGCATACACTGGATTTCAAGCTCGTCTTGTTAGAGAAATCGTCGACGGTGACAGAAGAATTGTATATCAGGGATTGAGTTTAGATTTCTAAATTCATTCGTACATTAATGTTTTCGTTTACATGTTAATAGATGTATTCCTGGATTTAATTTTTGATCAACTTGTCAAGCATTCCAAAGGTTTTTTTTCTTGCTGTAGAAATGTTTGGTCTTTTGTTCTTCGTACTGATGGCGCACACCGCTTATGGAGACGTGAGCTATTCTTTTCCGGAGGAGATGAAACGTGGATCTGTGATTGGAAATATCGCAAAAGATGTTGGGCTCGATGTGAACAGACTTTCATCTGGTAATGCGCGCATTGACACGGAAGGAAACAGAAAACGATACTGTGACATTAATTTGAGTACTGGAGAACTGATCGTAGCAGAGAGAATCGACAGAGAGGGGCTTTGTGGAAATAAAGCTTCATGTGTTATAAAACAGGAGCTCGTTCTGGAAAATCCTTTAGAGCTGCATCGCTTTATTCTCAATATTGAGGACATAAATGATAATTCACCTTCATTCAAACAAACTTTAATAAATTTCGAAATAAGGGAATCAGCAGACAAAGGTTCTCGTTATTTATTAGATGAGGCCCATGATGCGGATATTGGTATGAATTCAGTGCAGTCATATAAACTTGACAGCAATGCACATTTCCTTTTAAACGTAGTTACTCGGGAAAATGGAAGAAAATATGGAGAGCTTGTATTGGATAAAGAGTTGGATCGTGAGAAGCAGAAAGAGGTGGCATTAATTCTCACTGCGGTAGACGGAGGGACTCCACCGAGATCAGGTACTGTAGCCATACACATCACTGTGCTGGATGCTAATGATAATGCTCCAGTCTTTAGTCAAGCCATTTATAAAGTCAGTCTGCCTGAAAATTCTCCTGTAGATACTGTAGTGGTGACAGTAAGTGCATCAGATATTGACGAAGGACATAATGGAGAGGTGACGTATGAATTTGGACATTTATCTGAAACCCACCAGAAAACATTTTCGCTGGATGCATTGTCTGGTGAGATTAAACTAACGGGGCTTCTTGATTATGAAGAAGAAAGCTCAGTTGAATTGCCAGTTCAAGCAAAAGATGGCCAAGGGTTAGCCCGTTATTCTACTGTGGTAATTGAAGTTGTTGATCTCAACGATAATGCCCCTATAATTATGGTTAAATCTCTTAAAATCCCGATTCCCGAGAATGCGTTACCCGGTACAGAGGTTGGCATCATTAATGTGCAGGACAGAGACTCTGACAATAACGGACAGTTGCGCTGCTCCATTCAGCAAAACTTCCCGTTTAAACTCGTACCTTCAATCAAAAATTACTATTCTCTGGTGACCACAGGTGAATTAGACCGCGAGCTGCTCTCTGATTACAATATTACAATTACTGCTACTGATGAGGGCTCTCCGCCTTTATCTTCCACTAAGAACATTCACTTGACTGTAGCTGACGTGAATGATAATCCACCTGTATTTCAGGAGCAGAACTACAGAGCTCATGTGCAAGAAAATAACAAACCGGGCTCCTCTATTTGTTCAGTATCAGCTACAGACCCGGACTGGAGACAGAATGGTACTGTGGTATATTCTCTGTTGTCCTCTGAAGTAAATGGACTTACAATTATGACGCATACCTGACCACGGGTTCGCGCACTAGCGACTTCAAGTTCATCAGATCTTATAATGAGGGCACGCTGACTGCTGACCTAACTCTGAAAAATACTCAGTGCGCTGTGGATGATCTTGAAGGGCTTGGTGCGGAAATGAATGATTCGTTTCAGGTAGGACTTGTGTATTACTTTAAAAATAATTTGGTGGAAATTTAATATTTGTGTTTTCAATTGACTGCTGCATTTGACAATGTTCTTTTTTATTAACAGTTCACGTGAATCTTTAAAATGCTTGATTGTAGACACATGAACAGGGTCAGTTTGGAGTTAGAAAATATTGATCGTATATTGAAATATTGAAAGTGACTTTTCTTTTTTACACTTTTTCTGGTCATGTATGAGGTAGTTCTTTTTTGCCACTCTTTTGGACTTATTTTGAAGTCAACCTCTATAAGTTTTGTTAGTGATCATTTAAAGATTTCGAGGACATCTGTCTCATTCTTTTGACTAATGCTTTTGTCAAGCTCGTTAAAACAATTCATCAGTCATCAGTATTTGTGTCCTTATAGAGTCTGCCATTTGTAATTTTCTGCGATAAAATATTGCTATTTAAGCAGTTTTACTTTTCTATGTATACGTCATCTTTCTTTGCAGTTAGTTTAGAATGAGAATTAAGTTCATTTCTGAGTAACATTATCTTGAGAGAAATCTTTTAAACGTTTTTTTTTAATCTGATTGGAAATGGCATAGGACAGGTTTTCCGTGTTGCTGTCCATGGTGCTGCACTGCCATTTACGAATTGTTTGAGTATTTTGTTTGTATAGATCTCTATCCTTCCTTCCTTGTTTGTTTGGTTGATTGATTTGGAATAACATACATACGGTGGTCTTCTTTATCTCTTGCACTTAAGAGAATGTTGCTGCTGGCTTTAGTTTTGCTACACAGTTACACAACAATAAAATAATTTGCCAAATACATCACGCGTTCTTTATATGTTCCAACACTTAATTCTGTCTGATAAGAATGTCATGCAGTTTCTTTTTTTAACTCATAGTGTCGCTGTTCACTTGCAAAACAATGTGTGTTTTCAGTACACATTTCTCCACCCTGTTTATGATGTCATACGCAGGGCTTCAAGCTCCTCTCGTTACAGAAAATCGTCGACGGCGACTGATTGCCTGATATACCTAGTGTACTCCTCTCGATTTTTCTGAATTTAATTTTACATTTGTCGTCTTGTACATTTTCATTGTTTTGTTGTTGGATTTAATTTTTGTTTACTATCTGAAGCACTACAAAGGTTTCGCGTTGCTGGTGAGATGTTTGGCTTTTTGTTCTTCGTACTGATGGCGCACACCGCTTATGGAGACGTGAGCTATTCTTTTACGGAGGAGATGAAACGTGGATCTGTAATTGGAAATATAGCAAAGGATCTCGGACTCGATGTGAACAGACTGTCATCTCGTAAGGCTCGCATTGACACTGAAGGTAACAGAAAACGATACTGTGACATTAATCTGAATACTGGAGAACTGACCGTAGCGGAGAGAATCGACAGAGAAGATATTTGTGGAAAGAAAGCCTTATGTGTCATAAATCAGGAGCTTGTCCTTGAAAGCCCTCTAGAACTCCTTTTTTCTTTTAGACACTGTAGGCCTCTTTATCGCGTTTTTTGTTTTTAAGTACCATAAATCCTGTGGTTTTGATTATCTCCCACCCATCAGTGAATGTCACTGCTTGGTTTTTGCTTCACAAAATAATTTTAGGTATATACCAAGTTCGGTGTATGTTACAGGACTTAACCCTGTCAGAGATATGTACATCATGCAATTTCTTAATTTTAGCTCATGGTGTCGCTGTTCACCTGCGAAACCATGTGTGCGTTCAGTTCACATCTCCACACCCTGCTTGTGATGTCATGCATAGGGCTTCAGCTTGTCTTGTTATAGAAAATCATCGACGTTGACTGCCTCATATGCTGTACTTCTGTTTGCTTCTCTAAAATTAGATTTGCATCTGTTTTCTTTTTATGCGTTTATTGTTGTGTTGTTGGATTTAATTTCTTAGGGATTTTAAAGGTTCCGAGTTGCTGGTGAGATGTTTGGTATTTTGTTCTTCGTGCTGATGGCGCACACCGCTTATGGAGACGTAAGCTATTCTTTCCCGGAGGAGATGAAACGCGGATCTGTGATTGGAAATATAGCAAAGGATCTCGGGCTCGATGTGAACAGACTGTCATCTCGTAAGGCTCGCATTGATACTGAAGGTAACAGAAAACGATACTGTGAAATTAATCTGAGTACTGGGGAACTGACCGTAGCAGAGAGAATCGACAGAGAGGAAATTTGTGGGGACAGACTTTCATGTGTTTTAAAATTTGAGGTCATGCTAGAAGATCCATTAGAGCTGCACCGTGTTTCAGTTCAAATCCAGGATATTAACGACAATTCGCCCGTTTTCGCAAAGGAGTTGATCACATTTGAAATCACAGAGTCTGCTGAAAGAGGCTCTCGCTATCGTTTGAATGTGGCTCATGATGCTGATATAGGACATAATGCAATTCAGAGATACAGTCTACAGAAGAATGACAATTTTCAACTGAGTATAAATTCAAATGTAGACGGAGAAAAAAAAATCGAATTACTGCTAGAAAAAAAGTTGGATCGTGAGCAGCAGCAGGAGGTAAAATTAATTCTCACTGCGGTAGACGGCGGGACTCCACCGAGATCAGGTACTGTAGCCATACACATCGCTGTGCTGGATGCTAATGATAATGCTCCAGTCTTTAGTCAGGATATCTATAAAGTCAGTTTGCCTGAAAATTCTCCTGTAGATACTGTAGTGGTGACAGTGAGCGCTACTGATGCTGATGAGGGACAAAATGGAGAAGTGGCGTATGAGTTCAGTCGTGTCTCTGATAGAGCTAGAAAGCTTTTTTATTTGAATCCAAATACAGGTGAAATTCGGATTACAGGTGCACTTGATTTCGAGGACGAAGCCGTTTACGAAATATTTGTTGAAGGAAAAGATGGATTTGGTTTATCCAGTGATGTAGCAGTAACGTGACCGTGAGTGTCTTCATAACGGATGAGAATGACAACTCCCCTCAGATATTATACCCCTCTCCGGAAGGAAACTCCTTCATGACCGAGATGGTACCCAAAGCTTCTCAGGCGCGCTCCCTGGTCTCCAAGGTGATCGCAGTGGACGCGGATTCAGGCCAGAACGCGTGGCTCTCGTATCACATTATTAAAGCAACCGATCCGGGACTTTTCATTATCGGTGTCCACAGCGGAGAGATCAGGACGCAGAGGGACATTTCTGAATCTGACAGCATGAAACAGAACCTCATTGTGTCCGTGAGAGATAACGGACAGCCCTCTCTCTCAGCCACGTGCGCATTGTATTTACTTATATCAGATAACTTGGCTGAGGTTCCAGAACTGAAAGACATGTCTCGTGACGAGAGCAGCTCCAAACTAACGTTTTATTTGATCATCGCGCTGGTGTCCGTTTCCACTTTCTTCCTGACATTCATCATCATCATCCTGGCCGTGAGGTTTTGTCGCAGGAGAAAGCCCAGACTGTTGTTTGATGGAGCTGTAGCCATTCCCAGCACGTATCTCCCTCCAAATTACGCAGAGGTGGAGGGCGCGGGAACTCTCCGCAGCGCTTACAATTATGACGCATACCTGACTACGGGCTCGCGCACAAGCGACTTCAAGTTCATCAGATCTTATAATGAGGGCACGCTGACTGCTGACCTAACTCTGAAAAAGACTCAATCCGCTGTGGATGATCTTGAAGGGATTGATGCGGAAATGAGCAATTCGTTTCAGGTAGGATTAGCACAATTACTTTTTAAAATGTATTTAATGGTTTGGATTTAGAGATTGAATGTGTGTTTGTGCTACATTAAAATTTATTTTTAATATAATAATTAATTTTTTTAATTTTGTCTTATTTTATATATTTATTGCACGTGGTTCCAGAAATGTTACTGTTACAGAAAGATAATTGTATGTGCCCGAATATAAAGGCGAGTCATGTGATCTCACGAAATATGAATCATAATAAACCTTAAGAAGGTTCTATACATTTGTATTTACTGTCTTGCTTTCTTCTCTTATTGTCTGCTATGTGAACGTGTTTAAAAGAGCTTTACATACTTATTATTTTTAAATGGCAGTTTACTGGAATACGAAATTCAGTAGGAATGGCATACTTCTGTTTGCTGTCCGTGGTTCAGCACCGTGTATGTTGCTGTTGAGGTTTACTCTTATACTGTATAGGTTTGCTTGCTTGTGTATTTTACGGATTGATTTTATAAATGATTGAGCTTGTTTTCTCTTCACATCTTTAGAGAATGTTTGGTTATGCCAGGCCTTTTGATATTGTGAAGCAACTTAATTTGCAACAGAAGTGGTATTCGTGTTTTGGCGTTTAATGTCAGACATATGAAAGTTAACTACATTCAGTAATGTGAGTTGTCTTTTACAGTTGCGTTCTTTATAAAATTGTTATATTTTGTGTTCTTGTGATTTTTGAAGGACATTTTCTGCTCACGTTTGAGCAATTGTAAGTCAAATGTTTTACGAGTCGCTTATTTTAACATTGTGTGTGACATCCGTGTGTCAGTATATAGTTTGTGCAGTTTGTAATTAAATCTTTGAGGAAATGTTGGTATTTTAAAAAAGTAATTTAGCGTTTTTCTCGCCAGTTTCTCTTTTATTCAGGTTGAAAATAGAATAAAGGTTTTTCATGTGGCTGCCCATGGTGCTGCACTGCCATTCACTTTTGGTGTTTTGTATTGTATTTTGCTCCTATAAAGTTGATCTCTTAACTTTCTACACCGTCATGGCTTTATTTTATTTTATTTATTTATTTATTTAAATACTGCAAAATACTGTTATCATGTTTGTCTCCCACTTGTTGGAAATAATTCTCTTGCCTCTTGTTTTTAAAAATAATTCAAACTATATAACAGACAATCCTGTCAGAGATATGAACATTATGCAGTTTTTTATTTTAACACATCGTGTCGCTGTTCACCTGCAAAACTGCGTTGTCTTCAGTACAGTCTCCACCCTGCTTGTGATGTCAAACACAGGGCTTAGATCTCGTCTCGTTTTAGAAAATTGTCAACGGTGGCTTTTATACTGTACTTCTGCCAAATTTCTCAGTTTAGATTTACATTTGTTTTCTTTTACATGTCGTATCGTATTATTTTGAGGTATCGCTGTGTTGCTGAGTTTAATTTTACGCATTTGAAAGGTTCGGTGTTGCTGGTGAGATGTTTGGTCTTTTGTTCTTCGTGCTGATGGCGCACACCGCTTATGGAGACGTAAGCTATTCTTTCCCGGAGGAGATGAAACGCGGATCTGTGATTGGAAATATAGCAAAGGATCTCGGGCTCGATGTGAACAGACTGTCATCTCGTAAGGCTCGAATTGATGCTGAAGGTAACAGAAAACGATACTGTGACATTAATCTGAGTACTGGGGAACTGATCGTAGCAGAGAGAATCGACAGAGAGGAAATTTGCGGGGACAGGCTTTCATGTGTTTTAAAATTTGAGGTCATGCTAGAAGATCCATTAGAGCTGCACCGTGTTTCAGTTCAAATCCAGGATATTAACGACAATTCGCCCGTTTTCGCAAAGGAGTTGATCACATTTGAAATCGGGGAGTCTTCTCTTAGAGGTACTCGCTATCGTTTGAATGCGGCTCATGACGAAGATGTCGGACAGAATGCAGTTCAGAGATACAGTCTACAGAAAAATTATAACTTTAAACTCACAATCAGTTCGAATGTAGATGGAGAGAAGAATTTGGAATTATTACTAGATAAAGAGTTAGATCGCGAACAGAAAAATGAAGTAACATTAATTCTCACTGCGGTAGACGGCGGGACTCCACCGAGATCAGGTACTGTAGCCATACACATCACTGTGCTGGATGCTAATGATAATGCTCCAGTCTTTAGTCAGGACATCTATAAAGTCAGTCTGCCTGAAAATTCTCCTGTAGATACTGTAGTGGTGACAGTGAGCGCTACTGATGCTGATGAGGGACAAAATGGAGAAGTGACATATGAGTTCAGTCGTATTTCTGACAAAGCCAAAAACCTGTTTTCATTAGATCCAAATACAGGTGCCATTCTAGTTACGGGTTCACTAGATTATGAGAACGAAATTGTTTATGAATTACGCATTGAAGGGAAAGATGTATTTGGTTTATCCAGTGATGCTAAAGTTGTAATAGAACTTGCAGATGTTAATGACAATGCTCCTGAGATACAATTGAAATCTTTGCGTAGCCCTATTCCCGAGAATGCGTTACCCGGTACAGAGGTTGGCATCATTAATGTGCAGGACAGAGACTCTGACAATAACGGACAGGTGCGCTGCTCCATTCAGCAAAACGTCCCGTTTAAACTCATACCTTCAATCAAAAATTACTATTCTCTTGTGACCACAGGTGAATTAGACCGCGAGCTGCTCTCTGATTATAACATTACAATTACTGCTACTGATGAGGGCTCTCCGCCTTTATCTTCCACTAAGAACATTCACTTGACTGTAGCTGACGTGAATGATAATCCACCTGTATTTCAGGAGCAGAACTACAGAGCTCATGTGCAAGAAAATAACAAACCGGGCTCCTCTATTTGTTCAGTGTCAGCTACAGACCCGGACTGGAGACAGAATGGCACTGTAGTTTATTCTCTGTTGTCCTCTGATGTCAATGACGCACCGGTGTCCTCCTTTCTATCTATTAACGGAGACACCGGGGTCATTCATGCCGTGAGGTCGTTTGATTACGAACAGCTGAAAAGTTTCAAAGTGCTCGTGTTAGCCAGAGACAACGGTTCTCCTCCTCTGAGCAGTAACGTTACCGTGAGGGTCTTCATAACGGATGAGAATGACAACTCCCCTCAGATATTATACCCCTCTCCGGAAGGAAACTCCTTCATGACCGAGATGGTACCCAAAGCTGCGCAGGCGCGCTCCCTGGTCTCCAAGGTGATCGCCGTGGACGCGGATTCTGGCCAGAACGCGTGGCTCTCGTATCACATTATTAAAGCGACTGATCCGGGACTTTTCACTATCGGTGTCCACAGCGGAGAGATCAGGACGCAGAGGGACATTTCTGAATCTGACAGCATGAAACAGAACCTCATTGTGTCCGTGAGAGATAACGGACAGCCCTCTCTCTCAGCCACGTGCGCATTGTATTTACTTATATCAGATAACTTGGCTGAAGTCCCAGAACTGAAAGACATGTCTCGTGACGAGAGCAGCTCCAAACTAACGTTTTATTTGATCATCGCGCTGGTGTCCGTTTCCACTTTCTTCCTGGCCTTCATCATCATCATCCTGGCCGTGAGGTTTTGTCGCAGGAGAAAGCCCAGACTGTTGTTTGATGGAGCTGTAGCCATTCCCAGCGCGTATCTCCCTCCAAATTACGCAGAGGTGGAGGGCGCGGGAACTCTCCGCAGCGCTTACAATTGTGACGCATACCTGACCACGGGTTCGCGCACTAGCGACTTCAAGTTCATCAGATCTTATAATGAGGGAACACTGACTGCTGACCTAACTCTGAAAAAGACTCAGTGCGCTGTGGATGATCTTGAAGGACTTGATGCGGAAGTGAACGATTACTTTCAGGTAGGACTAATGAAGTCTTTGATGTATATGGGTTTTACAGATTGCTTTCATTGGCAATATGCGTTTTAATAGTTTTAGAAATGGTATTGATCAATTACATAGACATTATTATGTGGCCCATGCAGGATAAACTTGTAATGTAATGTGATCCCACACATTTTTTTATCCATCCCGTTGTCTGTTATGTGAAATCATTTAATAAAATTTAAATTGCTTTAAATTCTTACTTCATTTTAAACCCTAGTTCACTGGCATAGTAAATTTAGTAGAAAGGGCATATTTATATTAGCTGTCCATGGTGCTGTACAGGCCGTGTTCTTTCCTGTTGATGTTTTGCTTTTATGGAGGTCTGTATACAGTCGTGTTTTTTTATGAGTATAGATGTTATAGAAATTGAGCTGGTTTCTCTTTTTATATCCTCAGAGAATGTTTGATAGTTCTAGGACCTTTGATATCGTGAAGTCATTTCATTTTTAACAAAAGTGTTATATTACATTTTTGACATTTAATGTTAGACCTAAAAGAGTTTATGGATAAGCTATATTCAGAAATATAAGTTGTGTTTTAAACGTATTCTTTATGACATGGTTACATTTGTGGTCTTGTGGTTTTGAAGGACTTGATGCTGACATGGGTGCTGCTTTTCGAGTAGAATTAAGTTTTTTTTTCTAACCTTACAGATTAAATATGTATCTTTATTTTAATGGACTGCTTTCATTGACAACATTCTCTTAAAGATTTTGAAGCTCATTTTGAAGGCTATGAAGTAGCATGTTCTCTTTATAAGTTATCTTTCGATTTTTCTGGTCATGTTTGAGCAATTTTAAGTCATAAATACTGTTTCACGAGTTTTTTTTCGTTGCTAGCTAAATAATCATTAATATAAATTATGTAGAAGTGACTGGCCCTTTTTCTGTTTACAAACTGTCAATGAGAGAATTTTATCTGCCATGATAAATGCCAAATACAATGTCCTCTCTAGATATTTTTTTAATTCTAAAAGTTTAAAGCTCTTTGATGATTTTTTTTAAAGAAAGGAAATCTGATATGTCTCGTTCTGTTGTCTAATAGTTCTTTAAAACTGATTTTATTTTTGTGACATCAGTATGTCTCTCTACATGGATTCTGCAGTTTGTCACTGAACCTGAGACAAAACGCTACTGTGTTTAAGTAGTGTAACGTCTTTCTCATCGGCGTCTACTTTGTGAAATTGGCTTATAAAAGCAGTTTCGTATGTCAGCAACTTTTTAAACGCCCTTTTCGTCGGATTTGAAGTGTCATAAAGCAGGCTTTCCAGTTTCTGTCCATAGTGCTGCACTGTCATATTTGTCTTTTTTT